CATGTCTGTAAATCGCTGCTGACAGAAGAAAACCTCGTATCTCCATTTTTTGTCGTTTTTCAGTTTTTGACATAATTTGAAAATGCCTGTTGCTCCTTACATTGTGTGTAAATTTCATGATGAATGGACCAAAGGAAACGGCCAAAAATGACTTGGAAAAAAGTCTGGTTCCATTGACTTACATTAAAAGTAAAGTAGGTTTTTTCCTTTTCATGTAAAGTTAGCATTTTGGAGATGCAAGGTTTTCTCTGACAACAGTGAAATATCCCATCACATTTTATGGGAAGGGAGTTTGTGCTTTCATCTCAAGTATGGAGGCACTCATTTAAAACATTTAAAGTATATTCTCTTTGGCAAGAAATAAAGCCAATACTGCCCCCCTATACATTTTTTAAAAGGTGGCTCTTCAACGGTTCTTTAGCAAAGCAAATGGTTCTATAATGAACCATGAACACTTAAAAACCCTTTGCATGATTAAAGTTTGATTGTATTCATCAATATTTGCTGTTGTCTCTACATTTCCAAGCTGTTGACAGAGCTGATTACACATTCCATTGCAAGACAACTAGATGGAAGGTTAGGGTAACTGAAATTATAACTGGATTAAATGCTGGGAAATATGTTAAAATGAATTGCGCATGGAATTTTTTAATGTAACAGCAGTGCGTAAAATCAAGTAGCCCCTCCCATCACTGTAATTAATACCCAGATTTCTTATCCTGTGCAAATTGGTCCTAAACATTACAGGGTAAAATTACATCTTCCTACCTCCTCATGTAAAACAAGCCACACTTGAATAGTGCTTAAGGCAGGTTATGGCAAACTAGTATTATGTTATTGTGTGATATGAGAACAGAGACCAGTTCTCACACGTCCCAGATCCGTGTTTCTGTGGGTGTTTTGGTGAGTCGAGGCGTTTGTGTCATCCAAGGAATGTAAATAATTTCAGTCTGAATGATGCAACCCAGTCTTTAATCGAGTCACATTAATGGTTCATCAGTATAGTTTTAATATATTCCAAGGCACATGAAATATTTACAATATCAGAATATGATCTTTTACCCTGGCATGTGCATGTGTGCCAGCGTGTGTGTGTATACATCAAAGATATACATACCTAGATGCCGTGTTGTCTGTTGTTCTCTATCTGAGGCGATACGTCTGTGCGTCCACCATGTTGGAGAGGTCAAGATCCACTTGTGAACAAATTCACTTGTATAGAGAGACGAAGAGTCTCAGGATTAAATCAGCCACAACTTCATTATTACTCAACCGATTTTCACCAAATGTGTTTAGTTATAATCCTCAGACACAGATTAATCCAGGCTGCACGGATCTGCTCTCGGTAGCTTTTATTACTTTAATAACTGATCGTGATAATTAGCCGTCCGGACCAGCAGGAAAGTATTCAGTCTGCACCTGACGTTAAAAACCGAGTTTAGCACGAGAAACACAATCAGACACATCAGCAAATCCATCAATGTGTGAATCACTTCTAATCTTTATACACATAAAAAATATTCTTACTCAAAACACAGTAAGAAGGACCAAGCTGAAGTTGGCTTCCTATTCGCCAGCTTCCTTTTCAAGTTCTCCCATTCCACCTTAAAAGGTGCAGCAGTTACTTTCTGGTGCCTGAAGCTGCACCATTTAAGATGGAATGGGAAAAATCGAACAAGAAGCTGGCAAATAAAAAGCTGACTTCAGGTTCGTGTAAGAAGGTGCTTATCTATTATGAATATCTACACGGATCAAGGAATGCTATAACTTACCACTACAAAGCTTTAACCTTCGTTTTAAATAAATAACTACTACATAAAGCTAAAAGATCCCCTGAATAGATTATTAAATGAAATAAGCTTAATATAAAACCAGAGGAAAAACAATCACATCAGCAGGTTCTCTGTGCTTCACCAACCACACGACCATATCTACACAAACATCACACAAACAATACACATCACACAGACATGAGTGTGGATCGCTGCGTTCCCTCCGTTATATAATCATATCCCACTTTCTGAGTTAATATTCTTGAAACAGTGAATTTTGGACAGTATCTTTCTTAAACTGCCGCTCTGTAATGGTACTGAATGCAGTCCAGCAGCAATGTTGACTGCCCTAAAATGGCGGCGCTGCTGACGTGCCTGGCTGGACCAAACGCGGCATCTAGGTAGGTATATCTATGGTATGCATGGCTCCTAATGACCAGAGGCAGATTGGGACAGTTTGTGGGAGAAGGGTGTGCCCAGTGATGGCTGTGGGTTAATCAGGCATTGGAGTTGCTGATCTTTGTGAGGTCAAGCTGCCGAATGAGAGCGTTTTAACAGAGCACTCACACAGATTCTGTTCTGGATAATGAATAATTACACGGTGGCCCCCCCGCAGGCAGAGCTTCTGATTTGGGGTCATGTTTTCCTCGACAGGGAACACACTTAAATACGGCATTTTCTGCCAGTTTTACTACACAATTTCTATTTATTTGCTGAGTTTAACATATTAAATGTGCTACATTTTATGCTTTATTTTTTATTTTCTATTTTTATTTTATTTTACATAATGTTACATATTTATTGACATTTTTCATTATGTTAAATTGACAGTAATAAACAGTAATTGTGTATTAAAGTGTGCAGAAGTGTGCTCTCTACAGAAGATGTGTTAACTAATCTTCACTGTTGAAAATCAACAATACATATTTAACCAGAGGCAACCAAACATTTGCACGCAACTTTATTATATTTGATAGTACAAACTGAAAGGCAGTTATTGTAATAACTTATATTGTAATGATGCGCACATTTCAAGCATGTAAATTCAGTGAATTGCTTTTAGTGCAGATTAAATGAAAACAGATCAACTTTTTTGCTCACATTTTGTTCTGATGAGTTTTAGAATTTAAATTTTATTATAAATGTATTAATTTTATTAGTTTTTATTTTTAATATTACAACCCCAATTTAAAAAATGTTGGGACACATTGTGAAAAATGTAAATAAGAAGAACCTGATGGCAGCAACGCATCTCAAAAAAGTCGGGACAGGGCCGTGTCTGCCATTGTGTAGCAACCCATCTTCTTTTAACAACAGTCTTTAAACATCTGGGAAGTGAGGAGACCAACTGCTGGAGTTTTGGGAGAGGAATGTTGTCCCATTCTTGTCTGATGGAGGATTCTAGCTGCTCAGCAGTTCTGGGTCTTCTTTGCCAGATTTTTCATTTTATGATGCGCCACATGTTTTCTATTGGTGAAAGGTCTGGACTGCAGGAAGGTCAGTTCAGCACCCGGGCTCTTCTTCTGCGAAGCCATGCTGTTGTGATCGATGCAGTGTGTGGTTTAGCATCGTCTTGCTGAAATATGAAGGCCTTCCCTGAAAGAGACGCTGTCTGGATGGGAGCATATGATGTTCTAAAACCTTTATATACTGTTCAGCATTGATAGAGCCTTAACAGAAGTGTAAGCTGCCCACGCCATAGGCACTAATGCAACCCCAGACCATCAGAGCTGAGGCTTTTGAACTGGGCGCTGATAACAAGGTGGATGGTCCATCTCCTCTTGAGTCCACAGGACACAGTGTTTGTGGTTTCCAAAAAGAATTTCATATTTTGATTCATTGGACCACAGAGCAGTTTCCCATTTTGCCTCAGTCCATCTTAAATGAGCTTTGGCCCAGAGAAGACAGCGGCGTTTCTTCTTCTTTGCATGATACAGCTTTAACTTGCATTTGTGGATTGCACAGTGAACTGTGTTCACAATGATTTCTGGAAGTGTTTCTGAACCCATGCAGTGATTTCCAGTACAGAATCATGCCTGTTTTTAATGCAGTGCTGCCTGAAGGCCCGAAGATCATGAGTATCCAATATTAACCATCGGCCTTGTCCCTTGCATACAAGGATTTCTCCAGATTCTCTGAATCTTTTGATGATATTATGTACTGTAGATGGTGGGATATCCAAAGTCTTCTCAACTTTATGTTGAGAAACATTTTTCTGAAATGGTTCCACAATTTTAGATGCAGTTTTTCTCAGATTGGTGAACCTCTGTCCATCTTTGCTTCTGAGAGACTCTGCCTCTCTAAAATGCTCTTTTTATACTCAGTCATGTGAGTTAGTTGCAAATTACTCCTCCAGCTGTTTTGTATTAGTACCACTTACTTTTCCAGCCTTTTGTTGCCCCTGTCCCAACTTTTCTGAGATGAGTTGCTGCCATCAAGTTCTAAATGAGTTCATGTTTTTCATGAAATGGTAAAATGTCTCACTTTCAACATCTGATATGTGTTCTCTGTTCTACTGTAAGTAAAATATGGGTCTATGAAATTTGCAAATCATTGCATTCTGTTTTTATTTCCATTTATTTACATTTCACACAGCATTCCAATTTTTTTTGGAATTAGGATGGTACTAGTTTCCAATTGTGGAATTGTTTATTGATCTAAACATCTAAAACAGATATCAATACTATATTGGTGTCAGAAAACAATGTTTTGAACATGTGTTTGAACCAGTATGTTGAAGTGAATGCATTCATTTTCTTTCATACTCTTAAAGAACAGTCACAGTTGTGACTGTTTACATAGTACCTTTGTTTACCCTTTACTGAGTTTACAAAAGCAGCTTCTTACAGCTTAATTTGATCATTTGGCCATTTTCATTCTTAAATGTATTGAATCTAAAATATTGATTTGACCGTTCGTACCCACTTCCACATATGTGTAAATATAGATCATAATGGTCTTTGTGCATGTGCATGCTGACTTCACAGCATGTTTAAAAACAGAATAGTGAAAGCTTTGATACGTATCGGATGAGCCCAGAGTGCAGGTCTTTGTGTTCTCTTCTCTTGATAAATGTAGCAGTTTAAAAGGCCAGTTAGCTGGAGGCTTTATTTGAGGCAGATCCCATGATCGTTCAACTCTATTCAGGGTTTGTTTATCTGTTTCCTGGTTAATTATGTTGCGGCAGTGAGGTATATAAGCACATTCCTGCTCCTTTTAGTCGAAGAGAGAGTACATTTCATAGAGGATAGAGGAAATATTAGACAGTGCTGATACACAGTGCCAAATGTTCGTAGAGGACGGTGTGTAAAAGGGGTCCGCAGCGTACTAGATGTACTATGCAGTGATGTTTGTAGGATAAATAATATAGCATTGTAACTGCTTTGCCTTTGGGTGCAGTTCAGCTTGGAGCTATCCAAACTTTGTTTATAGCTATAATAGGGTTTTTTTCCTATTACTTTTTTAAATTTTCGATTACAATCCTCTGTGCCGGTGTTTGCTGTGCAGGCAGCTGCAGGAGGAGATGAATAAGTACCGTGGAGAGTTAAGTGAGAGGGAGAGGGAACTGCTGCTGATCCGCAGGGCCAGCGGAGCTAAAGCCTCTCAGCTAGCTCAGATGGAGAAGATGCTGCAGGAGACCAAAGGCATGCTGGACAAGAAGAACGAAATGGGTGTGGACAAAAAAGCTTGCGGCGACACTATGGGTCTGTATCACAGCTATTCTTCTTTTTGTTTAACGCTAATTTAATTTAATACGTTCAGTTTGAGATTGTTATTATTATACCAAAACAAACCGTTTTTTTGCCTTGTAGCATAAGTTGGACATGGTAGACAATTACTAAAGTGCTGGACAATGACAAACAATTAGGGAAGTACATACAATGCGATTCTGGTCAGTGTAAGGCAGAACACACAGCACGGCAGTACACAGGACCAGGAGTTCTCTCTGAATAGTAGTACAAAGGGTTTTCTATTAAATCTATATATAACATTGCTGTTGCTAAGTTAATGTAACAACATTTGCTTCCAAATTATTTTTGAAACAATGGTAACACTTTACTGTAGGGTGCTGTTCATAAGGCTACATGACACCTACATGAGCTTGTCGTGATAACTGACGTAACCCTACGTAACTGTTTATAAATCTTTATTTCAATACGGGTCATTTGAAGATGAAGTTGGCCAATTTTGATCAAAGTCAGCTAAAGTAGCCTTTATGAGAGATGATGCCTGTTGTAAAAAGCATTTACGAACAGTTATGTAGGGTTATGTCAGTTGTCATGACAAGCTTATGTAGGTGTTATGTAGCCTAATGAACAGCGCCCTGCAGTAAAGTGTTACCGAAATAATTTCTAATGCACTGCAGATTCAAGTCCATTCATCTTGAAATGATCACACTGTGTAAAGGGCAGTCTGCATGTCCAAATACATGGTTTTGATGTGACAGTGTTCATAAATAAAAGTATACTCTGTAAAAGAAGACAGAGGCAGGAAAATAGCAGTAAAATCCTTTTCTGACTCACATTCCTTTCATTTCAGTCATGCAGTTAGTCACATCAGTGAGGTTTTCCCTCTGACTGTTTTTTTCCTCAAACTCTCTTAGTGTCCGAACTGGAGGAGAAGGTCCAGCGCAGTAAACGTGACCGGCGTAACTCTTTGCACCGCACGCAGCTGCTGGAGAGCCAGATGAAAACGGTGCGGGGCGAGCTAGTGGACACGCTGGACCACCTGCAGGCGCTGCGGGACAAGCTTCGGCGCTCCCAGGAGAAAGCAGAAGAGCGCAAAGCCGCCATGGAGAGACTCACCGCGGAGCTCAGGTGAGGCTTCAGGCCCCGTCCAACAATCCTGACCTTCGTCCTGTCCTGTGTGATGCCCTACTCACCTGCCAACACTAAACACAGACAGACTGTGCTATTCTACCTAAAACAGAGACTGTGTAGGCTCTTCCTGTTCTTTTCCACACCACACGCTCCAGAAGAGGTAAAGCGTCTGATATTGACTGTGTCATTTCTGCTTTTTGCGGTCACTGTCTGGTTATTCCATACCCATTGGATTGAGTTGTGTCTGGGCAAACTGTTGGACAAAAAATCACTGACCGACTGATGTATCTTATTGCTGCCCCATTCTGAAATTGACCGTGCCATTTCTGCTTTCTGCGTCTGAGAAAAACTGTCACAAGGAGCAGCTGTGTTTACAGTGCTTGACAGAAATTCTGTGACTGACTGATGCGTCTTATTGGTGATAGCACTGTTTTCTGTTGACAGTATTGGAGAGAAATCAATGAAGTTTATTATGTTGTAATCTAACAGTTTCTCACTGTCCTGTATTCTAATCATACTTTCAATTTGTTTGAGGTTACACTCTTATTCTCCAGGGTATATTTTGGTTTTTCCATCTGAATTCACATGACCAAATCATAAGGCAAATTATTCAGTAACTGCATGAAATAAATGTAAATTTTTATTTTATTTATTTATTTATTTTTTTGTAAAAGCTCCCCTCAAATTAACAGAACGTGTGTTTTATGATCACACATATTGCTATATGCTTACAATTCACTGCTGAAAGCCAAAAATCTTAGACGCTTTTGTATTATTTTATAAAAATTATGTTTACAGAGCAGATCACTGAAGAGACGCCATCTGTTTATAGTTTATAGCCCAGATTTGTGGAAAAATGGGTCGATTTTCAGTAGAAAAAAATTGTGAGTTCAGCTTCTTTTATTATAAGGGTTTAAAATGACATCACCCACCTATTTGACTGGAAAGAAGACAGTTACAGAGTAAAGTAAAGGCAAGAGTTGTATTGATTTACTTGTAAACCACATACTACTCACAACGCCATATAATTCATCCAGAGAAAAACTGTTAAGCACGTTGAGTCTCTCATGAGATGGTTAGACAAGCCATGTATGCTTTTCTTGGCTGCTGGCATTCCTGTTAAATCTGAAGTCTACAGTTGTTCAGTTCTAACACGCAATAAATGAAGCATCAGTGCACTTTCGTCTGCTGTGCTGGTAAGACCGTAAGTAAGTTTCACTATTCTGGTATTACCTGGAATCACCTTTTGTCATAAGCAGTGTGTAAACCACGCCGATTAAGGGCGTACGTATAGCATATCACTTTCTTCATTAAACCATTTGTATACCCTCCAGTTTTATACATTATGAAAAGAAAATATTACCACCTTAGTCATTTTATTGGTGGGTTCTTTCCCACCATATCCTCAAGATCAGATCTTTCATATTGTTCTTATGAACGAAAGCTCTCCGAGCCTCCTCCAATCCTTAATGTACTTTACAAATCCTCGATATCAGTCGTTGCCCTTTCATACATCTTCATCCTGCTCTGTCTGCCAAGACGCAACGCTACTTCATTACATTCGCTTTCATATCCTGAGGGCCCAGAGAGTCAGGAGGTTATGAAGTCATCTCAGGAGCACGACTTCAACCGAAATCTGGATCTCAGTAAACGATGACGTGATATAATGTGATACAAGTCTGTTATTAAATATGTGAAAGCATGCACATTTGTTCAAATACTACATTCTAACATGCTGCACAAGGTTGGTGCAGTTTTTGTGTCCATTCTTTGTTACTAGCATGAGCCTTTCATCGTTTTATTTGCAGTGATGTGTACAGGAACCATAAAGAGGTTACTCAGCTTATGACCAGGGGTGGAGAATACTAAATAATTGTACTTTGTTCCTTAAAGATTATTTTGGATTGTACTGTACTGAAGTGAAGGGGGCAGTCGTGGGCTAGCCGGTTAGCCAGCTGGTTAGATCCCCTGAGCCGACAGTACATGACTGAAGTGCACTTGAGCAAGACACCTAACCCCCAACTGCCCCCCGGGCTCTGCGGATAGGGCTGCCCACCGCTCCGGGCAAGTGTGCTCACTGCCCCCTAGGGTCACTTTCTTCTTTTCTTTCTTTCTATTATTGAAATTGAATATTGTGCTCTTGACTTTTACTCCTTACACTTTCATTTAGACCTGGTTACAAATCTTAAAGACCATGGCATATATTTTTTATGAACCCCTTAAATGGCCAGGGCCAACCGGTGGGCCCAAAGTTTTATTTCAGACAAGAATAACTTGCCCAGTTTGCATTGAAGTCCCTGTAGTTACTGGATAATGAGGCTTAGTATGTAATAAGCCTGAGTTTAAGGGGTTAAAACATCCACTCAATGTCATATCAACAGGCAGACTGAGAGGTAATGCAGAGGTTATGACAGCTTTACACTATGTATGCACACTAAGTTCATCCCAGTGTTTAAATTTACAGGGTGTCCCAAAAAAATTGACATAATTTGAGATGTGAATGTCTGAGTAACTACATGTCCTGGCAAAAGAAATTAAATAGGCTTCATGTTGAACAACACAAGATTGATTTATCAAAATTCGAGAAATTCAGAGGGATGTAGATTTTATAACCGATTTCACGAAGATTCACAAATGTTCAACATGCGCACTGCCTGTGACGCGACACACGTCAGGTCGGTAGTCCAGCTCCTGCCAAACGCGCTGCAGCATATCTTGTGTAACCGTCTCCAGCGCAGTTCCAGTTGGTGCATTTTTATTGAATTTTCTTGAAAATGCTCGCTGCACACTCTGGTTTGACTGTGTTCGAGCATATTCTAACGCACAAAATGCCTTTTTATTTCTAGTGAACGCCGTTCTTCAACCTGAAAAAACACATTAAAAATTAAACTTGGTTAGTTTTTACACATTTTGTTAAAATTTTAGATCATTTGAGGGAGAATTGGCTGTTATTAGACTACGAAATGATGTCAATTTTTTTGGGACACCCTGTACTTGAATTTGATGAGGTTTTACATTTAAGAGTTTACTGAAAAAGGCTAAGACTTGCTGGTGTAGGTTATGTAGAGCTCATGCCGAGCATTTAAGTAAATAAAAAAGAGCATGACCCAGCTCTGATTCGTTAAAACATTTTATGTTTACTTTTGTATGCTTGAGCAAGTTTAAAAGTAGATATTTTGTGACTTTTTCTTTTTTAAGTAAGATTTTTACATCGTGCCCCCACTTTCACATCAATTTAGCATCTCCGTGCTTTTTCCACCACGGATACAAGCTGTTTTCTGTGCCTTATCTCTTAGAACTAGATCCTTATGCCACACAGTCTGGATCCATTACCACTGATTCCATGACTTACTCATTTAATGTTAGACTTGTATATCAAAGTCATATCCTGCCATTTGTAAATTTCAGCTGTTCTTTACATTGTGCAAACATTTCATGATGAATGGACCAATAGAAATGGTCCCAAATTACTTGGAATACTCTCTTGTCACATGAACACATATAAAAAGGTCTTTTTTTCCTTTTATAAGCCTATTGTGTTTAATATACAGAGTTTCTTCATTAATTACTTACTTCACTGGATTTGTGTGTTTGGTTATTTATCTCACTGCATTTTATGTATTTATGTTAAATTATTTTCTGATGTCCTCAAATATATCAAAATAAAGGACTGAGTTCACTTCTCCCTGTTGTGTGACAGTCATGTGTTGCCCTGTTTTGAGTTTTCTTTCATTCCCCCCGAGGGAAGCATGAGAGGAGTTGGACCACATGAGGAAAAGAGTTGAGGAAACTGATGACGAACTTCAGCAAAACGCGCATGATTTTCCTCTGAACATACACACCGATCAGGCATAACATGATGACCACCTCCTTGTTTCTACGCTCATTGTCCATTTTATCAGCTCCACTTACTATATAGGTGCACTTTGTAGTTCTACAGTTACAGACTGTAGTCCATCTGTTTCTCTGCCTACTTTGTTAGCCCCCTTTTACCCTGTTCTTCAGTGGGCAGGACCCCCATGGACCCTCACAGAGCAGGTACTATTTGGATGGTGGATCATTCTCAGCACTGCAGTAACACTGACGTGGTGGTGGTGTGTTAGTGTGTTGCGCTGGTACGAATGGATCAGACACAGCAGTGCTGCTGGAGTTTTTAAACACTGTGTCCACTCACTGTCCACTCTATTAGACACTCCTACCTTGTCAGTCCACCTTGTAGATGTAAAGTCAGAGACGATAGCTCATCTGCTGCTGCACAGTTTGTGTTGGTCATCCTCTAGTCCTTCATCAGTGGTCACAGGACGCTGCCCACAGGACGCTGTTGGCTGGATATTTTTGCTTGGTGGACTATTCTCAGTCCAGCAGTGACTCTGAGGTGTTTAAAAACTCCAGCAGCACTGCTGTGTCTGATCCACTCAGACCAGTGCAACACATACTAACACACCACCACCACGTCAGTGTTACTGCAGTGCTGAGAATGATCCACCATCCAAATAGTACCTGCTCTGTGAGGGTCCATGGGGGTCCTGCCCACTGAAGAACAGGGTAAAAGGGGGCTAACAAAGTATCAGAGAAACAGATGGACTACAGTCTGTAACTGTAGAACTACAAAGTGCACCTATATAGTAAGTGGAGCTGATAAAATGGACAATGAGCGTAGAAACAACTGTGTAAATTCCTATCTTTTACATATACCATGTTCCAAATCATTATTCACGTGCCATTTTTGTTTGTTTTTCCTAAACAGTCAATATATTTAAGGCTTTTTTTAATCCTCAACAATGTGGATGCTATTACAAGTGGAAGTACTGATACTGGCAATTGCTTTGCTGATATTTTAAAAAAGAACACAAAACACGTCGTTCCAAATACAGTTTTTGAAAACATTCAATGGGTCATAATGACATTCACATCATTTTAAATAGACATTTGTCAAATTTGCTGCATGGACAGATAATTTTTCAAAAAAATGAAAACAAGCTAAATCAAAAAATTACATTCACAGATGAAGTTACATATTGATATATGAGCCCTTCTTTGAAATGACTTTAACAACTCTCTCATCCACTGAACTTGTAAGTCCATGCATATTTTCTGCCTGTGTTTCATTCGAGGATGCCAGTATTGCCCCCCAGAGCCGCTGTTTTGAGCTATACTGACGCCCACCCTCATAGATCTTCCTTTTAAGGGTGCTCCACAGGTTCTCAATAGGATTGTGGTCAGGGGATGATGGTGGTCAGACCACGATTTTTCCTCCTTTTATGCCCATTACCACCAAGGAGTCAATGATGTTTTTTGCAGCGTGGTATGGTGCATGAAGGTGATTTTATTTCGAAAGGCATGACTCTTTATACCATTGAAGAAAATGGTTGGTTAGGAACTCTACATATCTTGCCGAAGTCATTTTAACACCTTCAGAGACCCTAAAGGGACCTACCGTCTCACTTCCCAATATTCCGGCCCAACTCATCATTCCTCCACCTCCATGCTGACGTCGCAGGCTTGTTGGAACAGGGTGGCCATTCACCAACCACCCAGAACTCCATCTAGTGTAGCACAGCATTCATCAGTGAATAAAACTGTTTGAAAATTAGTCTTTAT